AATATTTATTTAATTTTACTGAAGTTTAGACAAAAGTTATTTAAAATATTACTACGATTTTACTTTAAAATAAACTATTTATTTCAAGACATTGATTTTAATTTAAGATAAACTATTTAGCTGCGTGAGAGTGACCACGGTCACAAGCTAATCGGGCGATCCGCGCATTTCGGGGTCAGGACGACGAGAGTGTACATATTAAAAAAAACTATTTAGCTGCGTGAGAGAAACCCGGTCACTAGCTAATTGGGCGATCCGCACATTTCGGGGTCAGGACGACGAGAGCGTACATATTTAAAAAAACTATTTAGCTGCATGAGAGAAACCCGGTCACTAGCTAATTGGGCGATCCGCACATTTCGGGGTCAGTACGACGAGAGGGAGTTTATGCGAAGTTCTTTTGGGACTCAAATTTTCGGGCGTTTCCAAATTATTATTTGGGGGAAAACAGTATCCAATTAGCTGTCTATTTCCCTTAGATTCTACTCTCTCTTCCGAGTTTTCTAAAGATGTTCGCTTGAACTCCCTTCCTTGGGCCCAGAGGCTTGAGGTGCCTCGCTCTCTTACTTATGGCTAATATATATCTATGTATTGGTATACGTGTAAGCACATTTACATGCACACAAACGCATAGTTTTTCTAACTAAGTCTTATATTTTATTTATAATTATTACTAACTTATTTATTTATTTAGTTTGTTTTATGAATGATAATATTCATTTCTTTTAGTTATTCATTTCGCACATAATTATTTATGCAATTGTTGTTAATTGTATATTATTAATTTTTAAATAATTATTTAAATATTTCCTATTGTTTATTTGTTAATTCTTATTTTTACTAATTATTTAAATATTTCTTATTTACGTGAATATTATTTCTTAATTTGTTGTTCAATTTAATTATTAATTTTAGTTATTTAAAATTATTTATTTTAAAAGTTTTAAATTTATTGTTCTCTTAAATTTAATCCTATTAACGTTTAAAAATCTCTAAGGTTCTTGTTCAAAATGCTGTCAATACAGAGGGCAATAAAACTCCCATTTACTTGTGTATTTAAGGTCTTTTTAATCCTTAGAGATAAGATGGCCTAATGACGGGAATTTTTTTTAGCGAGACCGGACGAGACACTTAATGAGTTTTCTCATTATTAGTGTCTGCTGTAAATTTTACTTCCAAAAAATATATTTTAAAATTAATAAAAGTTCGTATTATTTTAAGACAAAAAAAATAAAAAACGTTAATTTAGCCACGACGTAACACAACAATTGATCTAAAAAGCGGGTATTGGCAAATCCCTTTAGATGATGCTAGTAAACCGATAACCGCGTTCACTATTCCGGGTCGCGGCCTGTTTCATTTCCGTGTGATGCCATTTGGTCATCACTCCGCTCCTGCAACTTTTCAACGAGCAATGTCTAAAATTCTTGGTGCAGATCTCGAACCATACGTGGTGGTTTATCTTGACGACATCATTATTGTCAGTGAAACACTTGAACACCACATGGAACTACTGCGCGAAATTTTTACTCGTCTGAAAACCGCTAACCTGAAAATAAATCCGGATAAAAGTCATTTCTTGGAAAAACAAACCGTATATTTAGGCCATGTAATTAATGGGGAAGGTATCTGTACTGATCCCGAGAAAGTCCGTGCGATCCAAGAAATTCAGTCACCGAAAACCGTTAAAGAACTCCGTCAATTCCTGGGAATGATCTCCTGGTGTCGCCGATTTATACCCAACTGTGCCGATCTGACAAAACCGTTAACCGCTCTTCTTCATAAACGAAAACAATGGAAATGGGAAGAACCAGAACAAACTGCGTGTGATACTTTAAAATTAAAATTACAAACTGCTCCTATTCTCGTCCCTCCAGATTTTATGAAACGATTCACCCTCCAAACCGACGCAAGCAACATTGGTTTAGAAGCCGTACTCACTAAAATCCAAGATGATAAAGAATGCGTTATTGCGTATGCTAGTAGAACTTTAAATAAAGCCGAACAAAATTATTCCGTTACCGAAAAAGAGTGCTTGGCAGTAGTTTGGGGAATCCAAAAGATGAGACCTTATCTTGAAGGTTATCAATTCTCGGTAATTACTGATCATCAATCTCTTAAATGGTTAAGGTCTATTGAAAGTCCAACAGGTAGAGTCGCTCGATGGAGCCTCTATCTGCAACAATTTGACTTTGAAATTACTTACCGTAAAGGAAAATGGAATAAAGTTGCTGATGCATTATCAAGAAATGAAGAAATTAGTAGTAGTAGTGATATTGAAGAAACTGTAGACTCTAGTATTTTAATAAATAATGTAAAAATTGATGATTGGTATAACCAAGTAAAAACCGGAGTTAAAACTGAACCGCAAAAATTTCCTGAATTCTGTATTATCAATGATAATCTTTACCGACACGCGTACCACAGTTTAAATTATACTGACCGAGGTAATGTTTGGAAATTATGTATCGCTGAACCTGACAGATTAAAAATCCTTCGCGAAAATCATGACGAACCTACCGCCGGTCACTTAGGGATTGCTAAAACCATCGCGAGAATTTCCAAATCTTATAATTGGCCTAGAATGCGTGCGGATATTACTAATTACGTAAGAAGTTGCGTTAAATGTCAAGAATCTAAACCGTCTCAAAAACCTACTGCGGGAGTCATAGGAACTATTGAAGCTACGCGTCCGTGGGAAGTCGTCTCAGCTGACATAATCAGTCCGAAACCACGATCATCTAACGGAATGTCTCATGCCGTTGTCTTTCAAGACAAATTTACGAAATGGATTGAAGTACAGCCCCTCCGACAACAAACTACTACTTCAATTACGCGAGCTTTTAAACAACGTATTTTGTTGCGATTTGGACGAGTAGAAACAGTAATCACAGATAACGGTACTCCCTTTATCAGTAAAGAATTCACTAATCTACTTAACGACTGTCAAATCAAACACATATGTACCCCACTGTACTCGGCCCAGTGTAACCCAGTTGAACGCGTAAATCGAGTCATAGGAACGATGTTAGCTCAGTTTGTAGAAAAGAACCAAAAAACCTGGGACAAACTCGTACCAGAACTTACCTTTGCCTATAATACTGCTCGACATGACTCTACTCAATTTACTCCGGTATACCTCAATTATGGTAGGGAAGTAATGCCTCCAGTATCTCTTCAATCTCAGAAACAAGGTCCCAAAGAAGAATATGATATTCTTCAAATCGCAAAAACTTTAACAGAAACCTACGAACTTGTCCGAATTAACCTGGCTCAAGCTTACGATCACCAGAGTAAATATTACAATAAACGTCACCGTGTTTGGTCACCTCAAATTGGAGATCAAGTCTGTAAACGCGAACACTATCTATCTTCAGCAATAGATAATTTTTCTAGCAAGTTAGCAAACAAATTTACTTCCGGTTATACTATTACTCAAACTATAGGACCTGCTATGTTCGAAATTAGTAAAGAAGGAAAAAGTCATATCGTACATTTAAAAGATTTGAAACCTTTTTATGAACAAACCTCGAATAACGATATTGAAACTGAGTTAAATATTATCAATGAACTTCCTAAAAATGATTTCAATCCATCAACTTCTACTAAGTTACCGGAACTAGAAAAAATCAATGAAAATCGTAGAATTACTAGATCAATGACTAAAAACTAACTTAATTACCTTCTTTTGTTTACTATTTTTATCTATTTTCTTTTGTTTGTTTTGAATTGTTTAAATAAATAGTTTTCTAACATGACGCAACCACGCGACGATTTGCTGTACGATTTTTTGAGCGTGATTATAGTGATTCGTGCAGAGTAGATGCTGTGTTATATTTTGGTCCATAAAGAGTGGCTTTTAGTAGTTCAATTTGTGATAAATCGGTGTTTAAGTACTGTTTTGCTTTCTCTATTTACTGCCTTATTTTATAACCAACATAAGAGTTTCTAGATTCTCCAATGGAGGGCACCACAAGGTACACTTCCACTGACCTGTCACAAACAATAACATGTGACCCCAATAAAGAATACAACATACCTACCATCATGATTTCTAATGAATCTCAAGAAAAAAATCATGACATTGACTGCAGCCAAAACAACATCGACGCGCCCGGCCATGTTGGTCGACCTTCGAAGGCCAACAGTTGGGGGAAATTCAAGACCTCATACCCCACAGCTGGTTCTCCACTCGCGCTGCTAAATAACAAACGAAGCAGAGATAATTCTTGCGCAGAAAATGATGAAAACGAACTCCCTGCAAAACCTATAACACTTGACAGCACAAGCATACAGGCACTTAAAGACTCTGTTACGAAGGCATTGGCATTAGAGCTACAAAAAATGATAGATAACAAGTTATCTTTCTTAGAGAAATTGAGCACAGAGGTTGAAGTGTTGAAGAAATCTAGCACGACTGCCATCTGTAATCTGACAAATGAGCTCTCAAAAAAGGATACACAGTATTCTCAAAAATTCAAGTGTCTTGAAGATAGACTTGAGCAATTAGAAGCTAGGTTAACTTCCACGGAAGCATCTTTACCTCATGTGTCTACACACACACACTTCCTATTACTGACAAGCAAAACAATAATGAAAAAACTTACATGGAAAAAATAAATGATAAGCTAGATAACCTCGATAAGCAATTAAGACAATCAAACGTAATCATTAAAGGCTTATGTGCTGGTAACACACCTCAACATAAAATCAATGATCTAGTGGACTCTTTCTTCAAGGAAAACTTTGGCGTTTCACAGTGTGTGGAAAATGCACTGTTGATTGGCAAAGGTGGTAATATCATTAAAGCAAAGATCTCGTATCTCTCGATTAAAGATGCAATCATGAGAAGAAAGAAGTCCCTTGGCGCCAAAAAGATATATATTGATTATGACCGAACACCGGAAGAGCGCAGAATTTACCACACATTGAGAATAAAGGCCAAGAAACTTCGAGAATCGGGCCACAAAGTCAAGATAGGAAATAATAACTCATGATAGATGGAGTTTGGCAAAAAACGATCACTCCTCCTCCACCTAGCCTGGATACCTCAGGCACTATACAAGCTTTGCACTCTGAGCCACACGTTACAGATACCCTGTGAAGATATTCAAGAATTTATTTTTTTTATTATTTAAATGTTTTAAATGTTATAAAAATATTCAATAAGAAAGTTTAAAATGAAATTAAATTAGCTAGATTATTTTTAGTTCCCGATCCACCGCTAGAGCGCGAAAAATTCGGTTACGCGTCCGGTCGAAGACTGTTGTTCCGAAATTGTTAAAAGCAATTTTAAAAACGCGTTTGAGAACCTGATTCCGATCAAAGGTTTTATCTGTCTTGAGTTCACTAGTCGCTGGATTGTGTTCTCGCCAATCAATTTACTTTGAATTTGGTCCGCTGGGATAAAATCAAGGTAAGTTGATTTTACATTAATTAATATTTTAGTTAGTGCGTGTCGCTGGATACACACTTGCTAAAAATTAATTATTACTCTCCCAGTATCTTCGCCTTCTGCCGAGATACTGTTGGTACGCAAGCCGAGTAGGTGGGGCAAGAAGGATTTGATCCGCTTGTGCCTGGGAATAGAGTCAGAGACTCCTGGACGACGCCGAGTCACCAGGAAGGGGGAGCTAGCTTTGAGTTCACTTAGTTCGCGATTTGATTTACCGACCGCCCGTTTATTATCATTCGTTCAAATTACGTTTAAATTATTTCTTATAGAAAAAAAACTAACCGTATTACTCTGTATTTATTTTATTATTATTAAATTATATTTTCTTAAATCAACTATTAAAGGCAATTAAGTTCATTTAATTTTAATTAATTAATTATCTGGGTAATATTTCCTCAATAAAATTGACCCTGGTTCCGGCGAATTTACGAGCTGAGGATTTACCTGTTACAACCCATCAAAAAAATGACCAATGAGAATAGAATTCTAGAACTGCCACGGACTTGGAAACATCAACGACAACAACCTTTTAAGTAAGTCAGACATTTTTTGTATCTCAGAAACCTGGTTCACTGATTCTGCACCTTCCCTCCCAACAGCTCTTACCAAATTTAACGTTGTCCATTCTCAAGCCGTTAAACAGCATAGTGTGGGCAGAGCAAGGGGTGGCATCCCCATTGGCATCAACGAGGCTTTCAACTATACATTATTGGATATTTCTCCCTGGTGGATTTGCATCAAGATTCAACTAGATAACATCAGTCTCGGTCTCTGCACTGTTTATTTCTCCCCTGCCCAGGATCTATATTACCACCTGAGCCTTCTACAATACATGCTAAATGACGTCCAAGAAAACCATCATTTGGATTTGTTGATTCTAGGAGGAGATTTTAATGCACGAGTTGGCCTGGGCAATGACTTCCCAAGCATCATGACTGAAGGCAGTACCCTACTGCCTGACAGAACTTCATTAGACACAACTGTGAACTCCAGAGGCACCCAACTGCTGGATTTTGCTGATATAAATGGCTTTGTCTTACTAAATGGTAGGACACATGGTGACATTCCTGCTAAATATACGTTCTGCTCCGCCAAAGGAAAATCAGTGATAGATCAAGTTTGGGTGAATCTTGCGGGGATCAACTTCATCAGCCAACTCCGGGTACTGGACATCCCTTCACAATCAGACCACTCCCCTATCTCTCTACAATTATCCCTCCCCTCTCTTTTCCTCCCACCTCGCACCTCACTGTCTCATATCTCAACTGGAACCAAGGTCAAATGGCTTATTGACAAGAAAGACACATTCAACAATGCTATGCGATGGTCACAGAAAATCAGCATAGATTTTGACAAGGAGGATATTGATTTTATTAATAGAAATCTAATCGAGGCCATTCTTGATGCTGCAGAAACTACTGGACTCGTGAAAACTTACAATAGACATACCCGTTCGTCTGAACACAAATCTTGTTTTGATAAAGACTGCTTGATAGCTAAGAAGAGACTGAGGGCAGTTCTCAGGATCGCCAAAGCGGCCTCGTTCGACCTCTCCTCACTTTCTGAATATATCTCTGCTAAAAAAGATTACAAAGACATCTTAAAAAATAAAACCAAGAATTACCAAGACCTGATAATAAAAGAGTTTGCAGACGTTAAAAACACAACCCAATTCTGGCGCACGTATAACAGCTATCGCAGAAAAAACGCCTATACCCTGCCACTGCCAGTTGACACTTGGAACAAAGTCTACGAGGGTATTTACCCCCCAAGAATAGTAGATAACTCTTTGTACTTTGGTGTTTTGGACCCGGTATTAGACACAGCAATCACCTTTGAAGAAATAACCTGCAGCATCTCTCATCTCAAAAATTGCAAGGCCTCTGGACTGGACTCTATTCCTGGGGAACTTTACAAGAACCTACCATGTAACTGGCTTCTCTACGTACAGACTCTTTTCAATAAAATCCTGGACAAGGAGATCGTCCCCAAAGATTGGGCGCATGTCGCATTGGTCATGCTCCATAAAAAGGGTGATCAACATGACCCCTCAAATTACAGAAGCTTGGCAATGATCAACCTTATTACTAAGATCTTCACCATGATCATCAAATAACGACTCGTCAAGTGGATTTCCAGCACTGCAATCCTCCCTGAAAAACAAGCAGGTTTCACTTCAGACAAATGCTACCTGGACAACATCTTTTCCCTACTGGCTGCAGCTCAGCTAACTCTCAGGAAAAAGAAAGGAAAAATGTTTGGCTTATTTGTGGACTTTAAGAGGGCTTTTGACTCTGTCCCGCATGTATTGCTATGGAACAAGCTCTTCAAAGCGGGAATAAGTCCCAAGATTTTTAGGATTCTGAAAATCCTTTACGATCAAGCCATATGCCAAATCAGATCCGGTGGTATGCTGTCTGAAAAATTTGAAGTCACTGAAGGTGTCCTTCAGGGCGAGATTCTTAGCCCACTACTTTTTATTTTATATCTATATGACATAGTCAAGTACTTCAGAGAGAAAAAGGCTAAAAGCATTCAAATCAACTCCAACTATGACATGATCATGCTACTGTACGCAGATGACCTAGTAATATTGTCTGATTCGATCTTAAACCTGAGGAAAAATGTTAACATACTAGAGGAGTACTGTGGTACACACAAACTCAACATCAACTTCAGTAAAACAAAAATTGTACACTTCAAAAGAGGAGATCCCAATGAAAAAACTAAGATCTACTGTGGAAACAACCTGATCGAGTGGACAAACGAGTACGAGTACCTTGGTGTACCAATAACAGGGTCTGCCCTAGGCCTATCTGCGGCAAATGCGGCCTGCAGAAAAGCCAGACTTGCAACAGGTGCTGCATTGTCTTCACTCGCTGGATTGAAAGCTAGATCTTGGGATGGTATGCTTAAGATATACAAGAGTTGCGTGCAAAGCTCCCTTCTGTATGCTGCTCCCGTTTGGGGTTTGCGTTACTTAGAAAAACTGAAGCAAACACATCTCATGTTCTTTAAACGCCTACTCGCACTTACTTATGGGACTCCTAGTGCTGAACTGAGAATTGAACTCAACCTTGCAAACAGCAAACTGGAGGTACTGAAACTCTCTCTAAACCTGGTCTGTAGAATCCTGGATATGGAGAACCATCGCCTGCCTAGAGTCTACTTTCTCCGCCTGCTTCACCTATCAAACATTACTTCTAAAGAGAAGAAATATAACTGGGTTACCCAACTCAAAGCAGTAGCAGATATAGGCCAAGCCCCTAACTCACTCTGGACCTCTACCTCAGCCACGTTTTGGAAACTTCAACTTCCATCAATACTTAAGACGGCCAGCATCAGACTCAAGTGAGCCTTATGGACACCTGAGTAATCAACCCTGGGAATCCGGCAGCACTAACAAAGCCGTCATCTGGTCCTGCGGTAAATGTCCTTTTCAGAGAACAGTCAACAATGAAGAAGCCGGCTTCGTAGCAGCATGGGTAGATGGCCTCCGCTTCTACAGCTGCTATGCACCACCTAGTCTCTCTAATGAACAGTTTGAAGACTTCCTTGATCGGCTAACTGAGGACGCAAAAAAATACTTTCCCGTGGCATTAGCTGGTGACTTCAATTCCTGGGCAGCAGACTGGGGCAGTAAGTTCACTAATACACGTGGAAAAGCACTTTTCGAGGCAATGGCCACACTGGACGTGATCCTTCTTAACTCCGGTGACACGCCAACGTATACCAAGGGAGAGGCAAACTCAATTGTCGACCTCACATTTGTCAGTAGTTGCTTAGCCCGAAGAGGTTTTTCTTGGAAAGTATTGAACATCTACACAGCCAGTGACCATAGTACGATACTATGGGAAATATCAACTGGCCAGAATCTAACAAGAGTCAACAGGAGCGCTAGCGCGGTTGGGTAGAAAGTTAAATCTCTCAACCTTACTGCTTTAGTAGTAGCCCTAGAGTGCGATCCGATCATCGTAGAAAATGCTGAATAGAAGACCAAGGACCTAATGAGAAGAGTCAGTCAAGCTTGCGACGCCAGTCGGAAACGTGGCATGAATTCAAGACCTTCGGTGTTCTGGTGGAACGATCACATTAGCATTCTACGCTCAGAGTGTCTTAAAAAAAGAAAATCCTTAGGGCAACACCGACATTATTCCTGGATGTTTACGATACATGCCTGAAGAAAGGGACTTTTCCCCGGAAGTGGAAACAGCAACGGCTAGTGCTACTTCCGAAGGGGAAAAAGCCGCCGGAAGAACCGTCATCCTACCGACCACTCTGCATGTTAGACACGGCCGGCAAGATATTCGAGCGTATCCTTCATCAGAGAATAGAGGCTGTAGTCGATCCACTCCTGGCAGACAACCAGTTTGGTTTCCGAAAAGGACGGTCAACTCTGGATGCGATCAAATCGGTTGTTGATACAGCCAAGGATGCAATCGCTGGAACGAGATGAAAGAATGGAAAGAAGAAATTCTGCTTGGTGGCTGCTTTGGACATCAAGAATGCCTTCAACTCTGCTAACTGGGACTGTGTTATGCGGGCTCTAGAGGAAAAAAACGTACTAGGATACCTTCGCAGAATAGTAGCGAGCTACTTCACGAACAGGCTCTTGAAATCTGACACGACGAATGGTACGGAAGTGTACGAAATCTCCGAAGGAGTGCCACAGGGATCAGTCTTAGGTCCTCTGCTATGGAACATCATATATGATGGCCTCCTGAGAATAGCATTGCCAACGGGAGTCAAACTTGTAGCATATGCGGATGACGAAGCTGTCGTGATCGTCGCAAAGCACCTCGAAGAGATAGAAATGGCATTTAATATTACATTCAGACGAGTCAATTTGTAGATGGACATGATGAACTTGCAACTGGCCAAGCATAAAACCGAGGCAGTGCTCATCAACAGCAGAAAAACGGTAGAAACCATTAAAATGAGAGTCGGAGAACAAGAAATCATATCACAACCATTTATCCGTTATCTGGAAGTGATGCTGGATGCACGACTCAACTTCAAGCAGCAGGTGGAACACGTCAGTGCCAAAGCGTCAGTAGTGAGAGCTAGTCTCGCACGGCTGATGCCTAACATCAGAGGCCCAATGCAGAGCAGAAGGCTACTATTATCATCAGTAGTCACATCAGTGCT